CCAATTAAACACATATGGAAATATTTAATTATGAATTAAATTACTTTGTACTCCTTAAGTCTTGTTGATAACATCACTCAGGGCTTATTGGTCTATGTAGAAGATTAAGATGTTAAAAGTTGTTCTTTGAAGTGCCTTTTCCAATTAGTAAAAATTATTTTATGTACATTTATCTTTAACCATCAGACAAAATATATCTTCTGTAATAAATTCTAGTAACATTTTGAAAGAAAATTAATAAACTTTTGTTGATGTGTTAAAAAAATGCGTATAACTCCAGTAAACGGCGTGAGCTGCATTGTTCCAGTGTTATTTTAGTAGCCTATTAGTATTTATTAATATTTAGAATTCGCTTTTATTTTTATTTTATACTACTTTGCTAGTTTTAGTCATTTTGTTGTGTTCTTTTGTAATTTAAATATTTCTGTTTTGCCTTAATTTTTTATTTCAGCTTTAGTTTTGGGAATAGTGATTATAAAATTGTAGGAATTTTAATACTTAGCCTATAGTTAGCTGTCAAGGCAACATTTTTGATTTTCGAAGTTTTTCATCTAATGTTTTAGATCAGCTTTATTTAAATGACCGAAAACGATGTTTAATAGTTTTAGTTTTACAGTCACAACATTATTCATATTAATAATGTTGTGATTGTAAAACTAAAACTATTACACATGAGGGACACAAAAGATATAAAAAGTAACATTAATTTTAATAGCCTACGGACAAGATAATAATGCTTAGGACAACAACTAAGAGAATGTGACATTGTTTATTTATATTACTCTTTACAAAAACGTTTTGAAATATTTATACGTCGCTGAGAAGTTTGTCCTCACAGAGTTGCCGTAGCAGAGAAAAAGATGTCATATCTTGGGAAAATAGCCAAGGTAAAAAATATATATGTATATTTTATTTCATTACATGAATTCGAATTTTGCAAGTACGGTTGTATTTTGGTTTGTAACTAAATTAGATAATTATGCATAATAAGAAAGCTGAGATTTTTCAGTAAAGCGTTTATTTTGAGAATGCGCTACAGTGCAGCAGTGATGTAGCTAAGCTAACGGGAGCTTATTGACCTGGTAGTGTTTTTGTATTTTTATATTTAAACTAAATGAATTATATTATGTCCGGAATTCTAGAACATTATCTTCTGAGAGTGTGGCTCATCTTGAATCATGTGAAACTGATGTTTTAGTACAACTCGTATGCATCATTTTTCTTCCTTAATTTCAGTTTTCCAGTACTTGTACATAATATGTGAATCCATAATTTGCTTTGTTTCTAAGGTTATTATGACTTGTTTAATGTTCGTTTTCTCTGCCCTTGTTGAGGTGGCAGTGCCCGGAGCCCTTGGCCTGATGTCTGCCACTGTTTTCGCAGCAAGCGAGGCCAAAGAAAATAACACCACCCTGATGACGGATGAGGTACTTCCTGTGCAGTGTGTTTTGGGATGGTGTGGGGTAGAATGAGGAGGTCATTGACATGATGTTGAAGGGCTTTTACAACACCCCTATATTTTTCAGCTTTCACTCTATGACACACCTGAGTCCCAGCTGAGGTACGAGGAGCCCGAGGTTGGTCATGTTGAGCAGGCTGCAGCATCTCTGAGGAAGACAGTGGAGCCTTATATTTCATGGTGTCAGGTATGCTGTTGTACTGACAGTGCATAGTGAAGTGATTCAATAAGAAAGCTTGAGTTTTAAAGGGGTCATATGATGTGATTTCATTTTTTCCTTTCTCTTTGGAGTGTTACAAGCTCTTGGTGCATAAAGAAGATCTGTAAAGTTTCAAAGACTAAAGTCTCAAATCCAAAGAGATATTCTTTATAAAAGTTAAGAGTCAGCCACGCCTACCTAAAACGGCTCGTTCGAACACGCCCCCACATGTCTACCTCACTATGTGGGAAGATTTGCATAACGCCACCCAAATGTTCACACAAAGAAAGAAGGCGTAACTTTTATTCTCGCTGTAGTATTGTTGCCGCCGCCGCCATGTCCTGAAGACGCTGTGTTTCGTTGTGAAAGCGAAACTACTTTGTTTGGTCTTCCAAAAGAGGACGATATCTGCTTCGTCATACCTGGAGCTGATCTGTGCTGGTCGCTGAGGAAATACTTAAACTTAGTGCTGTGGATCGCCAGATCGGCTTTCACTGTTTTCACCGCTCCTTCGCCGGGACCGCCGTTCTCGACCCCGCCGCCTCAGCTCACTCTTGCCCGGCTTCAGCTCACGCTAAGCCGGGGCTTTCGCTCACGCTAGGCCGCTGTGTTTTTCGTTGTGAAAGCGAAACTACTTTGTTTGGTCTTCCAAAAGAGGACGATATCCGCTTCGTCATGCCTGGAGCTGATCTGTGCTGGTCGCTGAGGGAATACTTCAACTTAGTGCTGTGGATCGCCGGCACATTTTATGGAGGACTGTTTACTGATCCTGGGAGAGTAACGTTAGACTAAAATGCCGGCAGTTCTGACTCACGTAAGTAAGTTTTCTTTTATCATTTGCCACTGATGATTTAAACACGAGTTTTGGGCATTGTAGAGTAGCACTTGTTGTTTGTCATTTCTCCAATCACAAATGCAGACAGAGTTTTATGTTTACGCGGCGCGATGCAATGCAACGCAATGCGTAAAAAGACAGTCATTATAATCAGTAATTATGTCCCCACTGGATGCAACAACTGCCTCGTTTGTAATGGGTTTTAATGTTTTTGTGTCGTCACTCCGGCTGGGACACGCCATCACAGTATGGTGAGGGGCGTAACATTTCCGTCTCACGCTTGAGGTATTCGGCCAATCACAACGCACTGGATAGCTGGCCAATCACAGCACACCTCGCTTTTTCAGATCGATGAGTTTTGTAAAAATCGACGCGTTTCAAAAAGGCAGGGCATAGAGGAGAAACAATAATGTACAGTATGTGGAAAATAATGTTTTTTTTTTACTTTAAACCGCATAAACACATTTCATTACACTAAATACACAAAATAATGTTCTTTTTATCAGCATCATATGACCCCTTTAAAGATGCAGTGTACTAACACAGACACATAAGATGATATACGTAATACATGCATATCTTCTCCATATTTTATAAATTATGCATTATCATAATGTTTGGTTTAAAGTTTTCATGATTTATTTATGATTCTTGTCCACCTGCAGGAAAAGACACAGTTTGCCATGGAGAAAGTACAGGCACGTTATATTGTTCATTTATATGCAAATTCACAATTATGCTCATAATTTATGACTGTGGTACTGAATTAATCGGTAATGTCTCCCATACCTTAATGTTTCTCTCTTTCAATCATAGTCTTACTACAAGACAGTTGAGCCTGGTGTGAATACCACTCAAAGTATTGTAAAAGGTATGGACGCAAACAAATACTCGTCAATACCAGGGGTTTTCTATATTTGATGCCACAGACCCCCAAATATGATCAGACTCATGAGAAGAAATCCTATTATTACATTTGAATGCAGCTATAGATTTTTTTTATGTATAAAGACCCAATTTATAATGTCAGGAATAAATATGTATTAATAATTTAATTAAGTTTATAAGTTTTTATAGTCAGTATAATACTGTACTGTTATGTTTTTTATATTTACTTAGATTTATTATTATTTTTATGATCATTTTTAATCTGTTTTTATTATTGTATTCATTTATTTACATAAGTTTTTTTAAATTAATTTTTTAAGTATTTTATATATCTTTTTTTATATATCTTTTTTTCATAATCTACTTCTGTATTGTTTATTTATTTTCATTTACATTTTTTCTATAAACATTTCCATGGTTATACGAAACGGCATTGCATTTATTTTTTTTCAGACATGTATGTGTTTTTGAGCAACCCTCCATCTGAGTTCTTCCCCAGTGTGGGTGTTATAGGATTCTCTGGAATTCTTGGACTTTATTTAGCAAAAGGTATGATTCTTACTCCATTATTATTGATTCAATTTTGATCATAAGGTCTTTGGCCTTTAACATTTGTTTTGTGTTATTTTTAAGAACCGCTTTTGTTCTCTCTGTTGTGTTGTGTTTTGTCCCGACAGGCAGCAGAATCAAGAGGCTGATGTTCCCCACTGGGCTGATGGTTCTGAGCACTTCCATGTTCTACCCACAGCATGCCGCCTCTGTTGCCAGGGCAAGTTAACAGTTCTTTCTATTTAGATGGACAGAGTCTGTTGTTGTTTCTCAGCAGGCCGTCCAGTACAGACTGCAGTAACTGAGGTTTTGAATAAAGTAATATCAACTACTGTACTTGTGTCCTCCTGGGATATTAACAGCGCTTGTCTGGAGGAAATGCAGTCTGTGAATTGTATGTTCAGATAGTCAGTGTTCCTTCCTCTTTTTTTCCTGTCTGGCCATCCATAAGTGCTAAACTAGAAAGTGGAGGGATATTTTGAGAATTTTTCCATGGATAAACTCAGTCAAATAAAGTGAATAATAGGCTACTCCCTGCCTCACAGGAAAAGCTCTGAAAATTATATGAAGACTAATAAGCATGTTTTACTGTTTCGCACAGATTTGACGAAATTAAAAAATCAGACATTAGTCCACTGATGATGGGTAATATGAATTGACTGTTTTTTCAACATAAATTTTTTTTTTAATAGACCACAAAACACTACATCTTTTCCCGGGGTTCAGAAGGGCGAGTTGTTTTGGAGGAGCTGCTGAGAGGGAAATCATCATCCAAGGACAAAGTGAGGAGAAATCTGATACTTGGCACAGTGTTGTACTAGTTTTTTCCTCTTTTTGAAGACAGAGTTCATACAGTGCTAATGTCTTGAGCAGATTCATCCAAATGTCTTAAATGAAACTGTGATCGGTAAGATGTTTTTTCAATGTTTTTTTTTATCTTAAGCTGTGTTCATCTCATAAAAAATTCAGTAAAACAGTAACATTGTGAAATCATTTAAAATAACTTTTATATTTTAATATATTCAAAACTTTCGTTTATTCATGTGATGGCAAATCTGAATTTTCAAGAGCCATAACTCCAGTCTTCAGTGGCACACGAGCCTTCAGAAATCATTATATGCTGATTTGCTGTTCAAGAAAAATGTATTAAGATCAATGTTGAAAACAGTTGTGTTGTGCTTAATAATGGAAGGAGTCCAAAGTCAAGATTGTGCGATGATTTTGATGGCACATATATTTAACATTAAGATCATTCTAGAATTTGTAGAATAAACACTCTTGCTTCTCTGTGACTTTTTACCTTTTTCTTTCCAGGTTGAAAAAACACAGAAAACAGACAGCCAGAAATCAAGTTGAGACAAAGCAGTACATTTTACGAGGAGTTTCCTGCTTTGCACCTGGTTCTCTTATCAATGCACGGATCAGTTTTGTGGTATTTGCTATATTATTGTGTTGGTCGTCTTTACTGGAACTGTATATTTCACTTATGTTTTCTGTGCACTATATAAATTTACTTTTGTACATAAATGTACACTGCAGCAGTAACCATTTGGGCCAACCTGAAAAAAGAGCTACACACCTGACTTGCACTGTGAAATGTCCAGACATTTTTCAACAACTCAGTGACTTTTAGGTCTTACTGATGGTTCCTATTGTATTTCCAAAATTTTCTACACCAGTGTTGTCGTTGCATTCTCTAGAACCTTCCCGTGCCACTATACAAAGATCAAATTTCAAACTTGCATACGTTTTTATAATCTTCACAAACTTCTGATTTCACAAACCACATTGATAAGTGGACCATGTAACATGAACCTAATCTGGACATAAACAAAGGGATATTCTGCAAAGTACAGTATTCTCCAGGAGAGTTATACCATCCATTCTGTTCATTCACTCTACAGAGCAGATAGTAGTCTGGGTTTTATTTAAATTTTTTTCATCTTTTTACCACTGTGACTAGGAGGAAAACTTGAAGGTGTTAACTTACGCAAATAATTAATTACAAGACATCACTTTTTCTTTTCCTTTTTTAGACTTTTAATGCATTAAATTGGACACAAATAAAAGACTATTGATAAGCTGATCTGACATACAAACTACAGAATATGATTGAAATAGGATGAATACAAGCACTATAACTTCATCTCAGAGTAAATTGCTGGGTATTAATATGATGAATACCCACAGAGTATTTAAAAGTATTTTGTGTAAGCATTAAAGTATTATTTAAGCTGAGAAATGGCTGTGAGCCATCTCTAGTTCCTCTTTGAACACTGGAACATCGGGCCAGCTCACTCTTCGGCAGAAATTTTCAGGAGATTCTCCTTATCGATCCTGAAAAGTCGCCATCCCTCCTGCAGCGAGAGGTCGGAAGCCCCGCGTCGCTTGTAAAAGTCGATGGATGCCTTGTTGGACTCAGCCACGATGAAATGCATGCTGCTGCACCGATTCTTTACTGCTGTCTGCAGGTGGAAACAATGTTTAGACGTGTAATGCATAAAATCATTTAAAGATGACATAAAACACTTACATTTCTGTGGTCTACTATGAGTTTGAAATTACTTGCTTATAACTATAATTTTGTGTCAGCAATTACACAGTTTTGTATCCATTTTTGTCTTTAATGATGCAAACTGTATGCAACAAATGTAAACAGGATGACTTACATCACTGAGGGTTTTCAAGATTTCAGACCCAATTCCAAAACCTGTGAAGCATGAAATGGTCAAGGGAATTTAGGATGCACCTAGTTTCATAAAAGACAACTTAATAACACACCCTTACCTCTGTACTCTTTCATTACATAAAAATCTTCAAGGTACAGCAATTTGCCAATCCAAGGGTCATAGGTGAAGTAGTACATGGCAAATCCAATCACAGAATAACCTGTAAGTGAACACTGGTGTCTTACATAATTGCATTACATGCTTGTGCATGAAAGTAAGAATATTAAAAATAATAATCATTTTAAAAAAACATGATAAAACGTTCAACACATTTTGTTTCTATTGGTCTACCTATAAACGGTCTATTGCGCTATTCACCATGTTTAAGTTCACTAAAGATCATCTTTGTCTTGATATTTACCCTCGACTTTCTGATGCTCGGCTGGCACGTCTGCGACCACACAGTGGTAAAATGGTTGGTTTCCAAATCCGTCTTCGAGCAGATCTAAACACAGAACATTTGTTGTCACTCCTGGCCAACTACTGAGCAAATGTAACATTTGATCAATAATGTGAACTCACCTTTCTCAGTTAATATGACTTGGTCTTCCATTTCTTCATACTTAGCGAGTTCCTGTAGAAGGTGGAAAGAAAAGATGCGGTTTGAACTTGAACTTGTTAGAACGTCAAGTTCTGTAGGCGGTGGGCCTAGGGCTTGTTTTCATGCAGGGTCATATTTGCATACTCCATCTATGTCATGAAACTTTTTTAAACAATTTAACATAAATATAAAGATCATAATAAGTGTGACATTAACTTTTAATATAATAACATGGAACAGTACACCAATAAACGCATTTTAAAGCATATTTATAAACCTTTTTAAAACGTTTCGACATCATATTTTGCTATCCTAAATAATAATGCACTTCAAATATACACATGTAACTAAACCAGTGTGAAATCTACCTTTATTAGTCGCAATATGTCAGGCACGTCTTTGGGTTCCGCTTTACGCAAATTAAAATTGGCCATTTTCTTCTTTTACTCTTTTTCCCTTTTCTCACTAGTCCTCTATATGTGAAGAGAAGCAAAAGGTGTTTCTTCATTCGCTTCCCAGAATATTACCCTCCGCTGTCAAGTTTTGGGCTTCTCCTGGATGGGACTCGCATGCAGCAGCTGACCCGGCTGTGTTCACCTGGCTTTAGTAAATGTCCTTTGTTTGTCAACTCGGGCATATATATTTGCCGGTGGGGGAGGGGTTTGGTTACCATAAGAACGTTTTTTCCGATCGCGGACCAATAGCAGTTGTCCATTTGAGCTACGTCACTACACACCGTTATGCTGGTGCATATATATCAGTGGGATCAAAACACTGTAGGAATGTATGTATTTTCAACCGACATTTTGTTCGTTTGAAAGACATTTCCTCTTGAGTAATGTAGAATATGTGTAAATATGTGACAACATTTTAGCATTCTTATGTTTCACTGACAACATTGAAAACTTTCAAAACATGACGGTCGCAATTACGGTAGAAGTTGGCCGGTTAGTGAGGAAAACATCTTTTTTTATGCGCTTTTAAAACGGTTAGTACGGTAGACTAGCCGCGCCTACGTTCCATGAAGTGAGGATCACTGTCAGTTAAGAAACCTGTCATTTATGCAAGAAGTGAGCTGGTGAATGTCTCACGAAATCATTGTTGTTATACAATAAAGTGGTGAGGCAAGAACAAGGAAGATGTTTTCTCCGCGGTGAGTTTTAAAATGCTATCTTGCGTCACGCGTTTAGTGTAAACACATTATTTGTGAGTCATGCATGAAGGATTCCAGACCAGCCTGGTCTCTCAATGGGACCTTTTTGTTTTGTTTAGTTTAGTTTTTTTACATAGTTTCTTTAGTTAAAGGTTTAATACTTTTCGGATTTTACCATTAGCAGTTTTGTGTATTAATGTTTTCAAGTCAGCTCTCTCTTCCCATGTTTCTGCTTTCTGTAAAGGGTCCTGAAGTCTGCATCGTCCCTAATGTGCAGAGGGCTTTCCACGGGTCAAATGTACAGACAAGGGAAAGCACCAGATATGGCTGAGGGTAATTATTTTTAAAAAATGCAGGTAAAATGGGACTTAATGTAGTATGTGTTTATTCTTAAATATATTACTAAAGTGACCATAAAATGTCCCACTTTACCTGTATCCTGTATTCACTCTGCCCACATATGCTTTTGTTGTACATTTTAGTGTGTGTGTGTGTGTGTGTGTGTGTGTGTGTGTGTGTGTGTGTGTGTGTGTTCATTTTACCATTGCTCACAAGTAAAAATGTGTTTCCTGTGGGGACATAAAAACGAGTCAGGAACGGGAACACACACTGATGTAATGAGGTAAATTATTATAATGATTACAGTGTGCATATATAATAATAATTAGGCAATAATTTCACGTGAATGACTATATTATTTATTTTGCACCAAGAGCAAGCCAGAGATTACAAATTGAATTTCTGTCAGTGATGCACTGATATACTGTATATATATATATATATATATATATATATATATACAGTATATCAGTGCATCACTGACAGAAATTCAATTTGTAATCTCTGGCTTGCTCTTGGTGCAAAATAAATAATATAGTCATTCACGTGAAATTATTGCCTAATTATTATTATATATGCACACTGTAATCATTATAATAATTTACCTCATTACATCAGTGTGTGTTCCCGTTCCTGACTCGTTTTTATGTCCCCACAGGAAACACATTTTTACTTGTGAGCAATGGTAAAATGAAAGACCATTTACTCTCTTTGATATTCTCAGGCAGTCTCTTTCCGCATGTGGCTTAATAAATACTGTCCTGCTGTTATCTAATGGTACATGTGCATGTAGTTCTTTGTACTTTGACAGCTAGTGTTTTTTTTTTTCTTCAAACACCTTCACCCTGTGAGCAGCCTGTTCATGCAGACTTGTCTTGGTTACTTTCTAATGCATTGTTTCTGCTGACTAGTTTTGTCTGTGTCTCCATATTATATTATGGGATGATACAGATGCTGCTACACTTTCCTTTCCAACACTACTCTTTAGTACATACAGTATGTGATATCTCAGTATATCTTTCAAGCTCCGTTTTGTTCCTCCTTATTTTCCCAGTTCGCAACAGGCTGAGGGAGATAGTCGGAGCATCCACCAACTGGAAGTATGTTACTGTATTTACATATATGTTATTCATTTTGCAGAATGATAGTCCTTATGTCACTACTTTGCATAAAATGTTGTATTTTCTCTATTTTGTTGTACAGAGATCATCAGCAAGCATTAGCTGAGCGTGCATCACTAAGCCAGTATCTCGCTCAGAGTCAAGATGAACTTCCTGCAAAGACAATGAAGGACAGTGCAATTGAGGCGCATCTTCCTCTTGGTACCCAGCCTGCCTTGAGAGAGAAATACCTCAACTATCACAACAGTGTCAGGTGCTAAAAGACCACCACTTCTCACCTGCTGCATTTTTTCCTGGTTGCCTGTCTGTGTCTGTTATAAAATTTGTGGCATTCAGAATATATCAAACTTCACAACCAGCCATTTTTGAATATTCATTCTGATCTGAGTACATTTCTTTTGCTTAAATACCTTTTTCTCAACAGGTTTGGAAGGATTTTGGAGGACTTGGACAGTTTAGCAGGTAATAAATACATCTTAAAAATATAGGTAGAAGAAGTTATGTTCTTCACGGAACGTTTATTAATATAACCTTTTTTTTCTTAGTGTGATGAACATTTTAATAATCTAAAGAACCTTTTTCAATGATTAAGAACCTTTTGTGCACTGAAAGGGTTTCATGGATGTTAAAGGTTCTTCATTTGATCATAGATGCCAATAAAGAACCTTTATGTTTTAAAAAGGAGATGTAGGTAATCACAGCAGTACTGGCTGATCATAACTCGCTCATTCTTGTCTCTTTAGTGCTCATCTGTTACTCTCACACATGGAATAAGGAGCTGAAAAGATCTCCATTGTCTATTGTCACCGCCCTAGTAGACAAGATCGGTATTGCTTCTTGAAGTAGTAGTAATTTTTTGTTGTTGTTAAATTAATTCATTAAATTCTGTTTTATTGTTTCACAGACATGAGAAAAAACATAATCTATCCTGACTGTGACATCAAGTTCACAGGTCATGTAACGTGGGGTGGCAAAACCTCAATAGAAGCTAAAATGCACATGTCTCAGGTATTCCTAAAGTCTGTTAATAAAACATGTATTAAATGTTGCACATAAAAGTGGCATTGAACTAAAATGAACCGTTTTCACAGTATCATGATGGGGCGTACACTGATGTATTAGATGCCACTTTTGTAATGGTGGCTCGAGATCCTGAAAACAAAAGGTAACATTAAACATGTTGGTATGATAAACATATTTATGATTGCGGTATTGTGTCTGTAAATTAATGCATGGGTTATGTACTGTTTACAAGGGCAGCTTTTATAAACCCACTAAAACTAGAGAGTCCAGAGGAAGAGGCAATTTTTCAGCAAGGAGAGCGTGAGTAGCACTTTTGTTTGCTTGTAATCACAATTGCGACTTCAATTTGAAACATTCAGAGCAAGACTGATGCTCTCTATATTGATTAGTTAACAAGACGAGGCGTGTGGAGCTGAGCACAGCATCTCTTCTGAAAGTGGCTCCTACAGCTGAGGAGAGGACTCTCGTTCACAACCTGTTCCTCAACACTCTAGACACACGGTCAGATTTATCATCAAAACACAGCTATAAATCTGTGCCCATTTTTTTTAGCAATATTTACCTTCTCCCAATAGAACTGTCAGCTTTCGGAGTCGTATTTTATCACCTAACTCAGTGTGGATGGAAGATGCCAAAATGAAAGGGCTTGAGATTTGCATTTGATTTTTTTTTGCAATACTTAGGCCTAATCGATGAAACTGACAATGTAAATTAGTACATTTGCTTGTTTTTTTATGTACTTGCCTGGACTTTATTTATTCTTTGCATTATACAGGAAAGAAATATCTTCAACCGGATATTTGGTGGATTTTTGATGAGAAAGGCCTATGAACTTAGTTGGGCGAATGCTTGTGCATTTGCGTAAGAGATTCCCCTTTGTTGACTATTGAATATTACCTGTAAAGAAGTATTTCATTTCATCACATGGCTATATTTGTATCTTTCAGTGGATGCAGACCAACGCTGGTGGCTGTAGATGACATTGTATTTCGAAAGCCAGTAGAAATTGGCTCTTTGCTATTGCTGTCCTCACAGGTTCTAAATTGTTAAATATCAAATGCACTAATTTGTAGCCATTTTTGTCCTTCAGAATAAGATTGATGATAATACTGTTCTGTCAGGTTTGTTACACTGAAGGGATGCACATCCAGGTCAGGGTTCACACAGAGGTGCTTGACCCATTGACCCGGCAACACAGCACCACAAATGTGTTTCACTTTACTTTTCGTGTTGAGAAGGATATCCCAGCTATTGTACCACAGAGCTATGGAGGTCAGAATATTTTTACAAATATTGTTACATTATATTTTAATGGAATTACTTGTAATTTAATATTGTTGTCATTTGCAGAGTCTATGCTTTACCTGGATGGAAAGAGGCACTTTGATGAGACCATGAGGAGCCAAGGTTGAGCATCTGGGATGTGCTGAAAGGATGAGATTCCTGCCAAAGCTGCGATGATGGTCACCGCTGTAGTTACATGAGAGTGTATGTGTGGATTCGACTATTAGTTTTTTAGTTCCGTTCATTTTATATTCACAATATATTTTATTGTTCGCTGCATTTTATGTAAATGTAAAATATTCTTTTTTCACAATTGTAAACTTGCAGTGGGAGAGGAGCATTTAGTGAAATGGTTTTGCAGCTTGATTGTGGCAATATTAAACCTATTTAGTCATTAAAGTGCCCCTATTATGCCATTTTTACGGTTCCTAATATTGTTTTGGGAGTCTCCTACAATAGGATTACATGCATGCAAGGTCAAAAAACGCTTTCGTTTTCTCAAAATATGCATTTAATAACACCTCATTTTCCAGTGATTCTCAAACGATTCGTTCGTAGCAGTTCAAAGTTTCAGTCTCTCTAAACCCCTCCTTTCGGTGAGCCTGCTCTGCTCTGATTGGTCAGATGGCCTAGTCTGTTGTGATTGGTCTACGGCGTACAGCGCGTTTCGGAAACGATACACCTATTTCAATAGTTCTGTATTTTGAACACTCTAATACTTCAGTGGAGCAGCTGGTCCAAATAAACAGGATACTGATCCATCTTTCAACAGCAAGTGTTTTGTGAATCCTGCGTTGAACTTTAGAGAAACAGTCGTCAGTAGAATGACGTGTTTGTGGGCGGGGTCAAGTTGTTCGCGGCCGACCAATGGAGAACATAGGCGCACATTATGCAAATGTGTTACCCTGTGACGTGTAGCCATCACGGAAGTGGGATTCGAATTACTAACGACTCATCTCAGCTGTTCAGAATCGATTCTTTATTTTGGGAGACAATAACTTTATTTATCGTGCACTTTCGGCTTTACAACTTTGCAGATCGTTTACATTCACATACAGCTACATTACACACTGCATGTAAGGCAATATTGGAAATGGCATAATAGGGACACTTTAAGACTTATAACAGACCATGTTTTGTTTGCACTACAGTGTCATTTATAAACCAAGTGATTTTGGTTGTACTGGTGGAATTTACCTGTTTTGGGAAGTAGTGGCCTAATGGTTAGAGAGTCGGACTCGTAACCCAAAGGTTGCGAGTTCGAGTCTCCAGTCCGGCAGGGATTGTAGGTGGGGGGAGTGAATGTACAGCGCTCTCTTCCACCTTCAATACCACGACTGAGGTACCCTTGAGCAAGGCACCGAACCCCCAACTGCTCCCCGGGCGCCGCAGCATAAATGGCTGCCCACTGCACCGGGTGTGGGTTCACTGCTGTGTGTGTGCACTTAGGATGGGTTAAATGCAGAGCACAAATTCCTAGTATGGGTAACCATGCTTGGCCACATGTCACTTCACTTTCACTTGTACTGTTACCGATTTGAATGCAGGCAAAGCAATTCCTGAACAACTGGTATCCTGGAAAAATATATTTAGTATATGCACAAATTCTGAGAATAAATCCTGTCTTCCTTTCTTGATCTCCTCAAAAGAAAACAAGGAGATCCTAAACTGGAGATCAAATTATGAGGGCACTGCCTCACAAAAACACTCCAAAAACTTTACTAAACACATCTGGTCTAGAGAGCACAGTATGGATAAAAATCAGGTTTTGCTGTTTAATCTGTGTATGTTTTAGAATGCTGACAAATTGGCTTGTATATAAACATCCGTTTTCGCATTTTTTATTATTTTAAATGCAACAAACAACCATGGACATTTGCAAAAGATGGTAGTACGGTCCTAAATATGGACTCTGTAGGAGGTTAACATGTCAGAAATTGTATATGAGTGGAAGTAAGTTCAGGGAGATTAATATGATGCCTTTCATGTACACACTGCCTGTACCAGAATGATCCAAAAATGACTAACGAGTGCATGCCTTTTCAATGTTTTTGTTCACAAATTATATTTAGCATCATTTATTTTTACAGTTATTTTATGTTTGTATTCTTGTTTGTTTCTTATTAACACAGAACCTTAAATATGCTTATATACATCTGTATTAATGGACATTTGCCTTATGTATAACGCACATTTCAGAGGTGTATTGTCTTTATTTATTCTATGAGCGAAAGTGTCCAGTGGTATTTGTCCGATCATGTCATCTAAACACAGTGAGGCGACCCGCTCCGTGTAAAATAAAATTGTATTAGGGTACTTATGACTGGAGTCTTCATCTCATGCGAGTATTTTGTACTATTCTTTTTATTTGCTTAAAAACATTTGACTGAGGACACGGTTAGTGAGCAGCGCTTTACTGACTGACTGACTGCCATCGAGTGGCAAACTCGCGAAATTGCAAGTGTGAGAAATGGCCACTACGTCAAGACACTGGTCATGTTGAGACGGAGTAAATGTTATTTTTGTCGCCCATATAACAATCTAGAGCATGTGTAATTTTATGCCACCATGTTAGGTTTCGCCTCTATTGCGAAATGATCACTTGGTAAACTTTCTAAGCAATGGTCGTAACTAGAAACTGGCCGTGTGTTTGTTGTTCGTTAAAAGTGCGTAACGTTATTTATAACCAGTACGGTGCGCGGAGGATTGGAAAGTGATATAAAACTGCAAGTTCAGATCTGTTGTTGATTTTAAGAAAGTTCCTGCTGTTCTCCAAAGTGGTGAGAGAAGAACAAAAAGATGTTGTGTTCACGGTGAGTACACCGGTATCTTCTGACTGAGTCGCATTTATTCGGTAAGACGCGTGTTCCACTGTATCTGCCAAAAGTTTCCTATTGATTTGTTAATGCATTGTTCACTTTTAGCAGGCTCTCCCGTGACTCTATTTTCTTTTCCGCTCACTCATTTTGGATAGGGTCCTTAAGTCTGCAGTGTCCTTCACCTGCAGGAAGTTTTCAATGGGTCAGATATCCCAACAAGGGAAGGTTCCTGATATGGCTGAAGGTAACTGCTAGAATAGACTAGTCATTCCTGTTGTGCAGTACTTTTTGAATATGTTTCATAAAAATATATTTCAGACTTTAAAAAAAAAAATGCTGGTTGAGCTCAGGCACTTGCACATTTTAAAATAGTTTCTCAATGGCAAAAAAAAAAAAGCATAATAGAAATAAAAAGTTAGACATTGTTCAGTGGAGGATTTTGGCTTAACGGATTGAGAGTGTCAATTTGATCAATTTAATAGTTTATTATCTAAATTTAAATGTTATCCAACAGGATGGGATGTTTTAAATACACAAAACATCACATCATTAATTGCTAATGGATACAGATGTTTGTTGTGTTGCCATCAACAATGATTACACTTTTTGGAGGATTATGTCATTTTTTTTACTCTTTCTGTCTGCATGTGTCTGCTCACCTATTATTTAAAGTTATATAAAGAAATTATTTAAAAATATATGCATGTAGCCTTTAGTACATCTGATGTTTTTAATTTTTGAAATGCCTTTCTCTTTCAAGACCTTATACCTTGCCTTTAATTAGCAGCCTGCTGAAGCTTAGTCCTGTTTTGATTCCTGCCTTTTGCTTTCTGTTTTGCCATGTGTGTCCATTATCCTCATTTCCCCCCTTCAGCTTTATTTTCCTAAGAGCTGTTTTGACCAACAAAATAGTTTTTTTAGTAATGAAGTTGCCATACATTGACCTTGCATTGGCATACTCTTTAGTGTAAAGCTTTAACTCTCTGTGTTTCTAATACCAAAACTGACAGGCTAACCACTTGAATGTGTGATGTCTCCTATTAAAATTGTGGTCTTTTTTTTTTCTTCACAGTTCGCAACAGGCTGAGAGAAATAGTCGGTGCATCTACCAACTGGCAGTATGTTCCTGATGTAACATATTACAATCATTAAACATTATGCAGATCAATGGGAAGTCTCTGAAATGTACATTTTATGATGTATTTTCTCCATAATATACAGAGATCATCAGCAAGTGCTGGCCGAGCGTGCATCACTAAGCCAGTATCTTGCTCCGAGTCAGGATCAACTGCCTGCAAAAAGAATGAAGGACAGTATGATAGAGGCGCATCTTCCTCTGGGTTCCCAGCCTGCCTTGAGAGAGAAATACCTCAACTCTCACAACAGTGTCAGATGCTAAAAGACCATTACTCTGCACATGCAGCTTGGTTATTATTTGCTCTTTAAAAAACAGTGACATTCTGTTATTGATTTTTATATATCTCTGTTTTCTTCACAGGTTTGGTAGGATTTTGGAGGACTTGGACTGTTTAGAAGGTAGTACAGATTAGGTCTGGACGATACATCAAATATTATTGATAGTATTTCCTAATTTTATATCGCCAACAAAGGTATCATGATAATGTGTATGCAATAATGTTTGGGATTGAATCCGAAAATGTAATGATTGACAGGGCAAAAAATCAGATACTGTATGTCAAAATAGATCTGTGCATTACGTTTTGGAGTGTAAATGCAAGGTAATAGACCTGCCACTTGTTCTCTGTTAAATGTATTTCTTTGTTCATCATGGTGTAAGGGAAACAGTGATAATGTGTTTGAATGGAGATCCGCAGCGGCTCAGCTGTTACTTAAAAAAAAAACTATTTTCGTTGATGAAATAGAGCAAAATAAGGCAGTTGTGTTGTTGTCAGACAATATACGTCACTTAATATTAACTTATTGTTTAATGAACTGTTGTATTAAATCAATATCACATGTGCAAACTCCCTTAATAATCATTAAAAGATCTTAGTTTATCCCGATCTCACAAAACTCCATTATAATCGACGAAGCTCTCTACACTGCACAATGTGTATCTTATTTACACCCCGTCAACACTTTGTTATAATGAGAGGATATGTCTGTGATGCATTACTCAACGCTGCAGAAACACGTACGTACATTAGAACCTTTGAAGCACCTCAGCGCAAACACAAATATGCTGACCGCGTCAGTCGCACAGGCGCTCCTAAATATTATTTCATGGTCGCACTGTAGAGCCCTGAACGGTCCAATCAGATTCAATGATCTATGCTAAGCTACAGCTAAAAGTGCTACCGCCAGACCCGGAGATCGGCTGAATGGATTAGACAACGGTCAAACTCAACTGTTTAACTCTAGGGGAGTTGGAAAATGAGCCTATTTTCAAAAATAGTGGGGTGTTCCTTTAACAACCTTTTTTTAAATAGTGCTAATTTTGCACTAAACAATTTCTATGTATTTTGTAACTATAGCTGTTCATAAAGATCATGTATTGTTCAAGGGAGTCTAAACAAAAAAACATCTTTTAAAAAAATATATATACGTGTATAGAAAGAGAGAGAGTCTATGTTAATAAATGTTGATTTATTAATTTTTTTATTAATATTTATAAACACAAATATGCTGATCGGGTCAGTCGCACTGGTGCTCCTAAATATTATTTCATGGTCGCACGCAGTAGTTTTCAGTCGCACTGTAGAGCCCTGAACGGTCCAATCAGATTCAATGATCTATGCTAAGCTACAGCTAAAAGTGCTACCGCCAGACCCGGAGATCGGCTGAATGGATTAGACAACGGTCAAACTCAACTGTTTAACTCTAGGGGAGTTGGAAAATGAGCCTATTTTCAAAAATAGTGGGGTGTTCCTTTAACAACCTTTTTTTAAATAGTGCTAATTTTGCACTAAACAATTTCTATGTATTTTGTAACTATAGCTGTTCATAAAGATCATGTATTGTTCAAGGGAGTCTAAACAAAAAAACATCTTTTAAAAAAATATATATACGTGTATAGAAAGAGAGAGAGTCTATGTTAATAAATGTTGATTTATTAATTTTTTTATTAATATTTATTTTGCCCAACCCTACTACAGTTAATGTATGCCGTAATAACTGTTGAGAGTGATCACATAAACACAGAGTATCAAGCTGTCTTATTCTTGTCTCTTTAGTGCTCATCTGTTACTCTCACACATGGAATGAGGAGCTGCAAAGATCTCCACTGTCTATTGTCACCGCCCTAGTGGACAAGATCGGTATTGCTGCTAATTCACAAAGATTATTCAAAGGCTACTTAATATTTTATTTCCACTCAAATTTTTAAGATATTATATATATATATATATATACTTTACTGTTAATTATTCATTTATATGCTATTGTTATTGTGTCTCAGACATGAGACAAAACATCATCTATCCTGACTGTGACATCAAGTGCACAGGTCACGTGACATGGGTTGGCAAAACCTCAATAGAAGCTACAATGCACATGTCTCAGGTGTTGTTTTCCAGTTTTTAGTAATGTATTCTCTGTATGCTGTATAGTATTATCAGAGTATCATTAAACTAAACTGAACTGTTTTCTCAGTACCAAGATGGTGCGTACACAGATGTATTAGATGCCACGTTTGTCATGGTGGCTCGAGATCCTGAAAATAAAAGGTATCACAGCTCTCTGATGTGATCAGTATGTCTAAAATTGATTTGATGTGTCTGTGAGTTAATGCATATATTCTTAGGGCAGCTTTTGTAAACCCACTCAAACCTGAGGGTCCGGAGGAAGAGGCCATTTTTCATCAGGGGGAAGGTGTGCCTTTTATTTTTGTCTTTCAACAATTAAAATGGCCTCTCTAACCCAGAAGCCTTCAATAGATTAAAAATATTTAAAAATATGTTCAAGTTTGCAGATTGGATCATTTTGTTTAGCATAGATGCAAATTATTAAATCAAGAAGATTTATGCAAAGGGTACATTACCATAATCTTTTGTTTCATTTAAAAAAAAAAAGCTTTTATTGCCAAATTGATATTGATTAGTTAACAAGACGAGGCGTGTGGAGCTGAGCACAGCATCTCTTCTGAAAGTGGCTCCTACAGCTGAGGAGAGGACTCTCGTTCACAACCTGTTCCTCAACACTCTAGACACACGGTCAGATTTATCATCAAAACACAGCTATAAATCTGTGCCTTTATTTTTGGTATGGTATTAATTAAAAAAATTTTTTTCCTTTTCTGTAGACGTGTGAGTTTTCGTGGTCGTATTCTACCACCAAATTCGGTGTGGATGGAAGACGCCAAATTCAAAGGGCTAGAGATTTGCCATCCAGAGGTAAGGGGAAAATAAATGTTTTATATATATATATACTGTGTGTGTGACTGACAGTGACGTGACATGTGGCCAAGTATGGTGACCCATACTCGGAATTAGTGCTCTGCATTTACCCATCCAAAGTGCACACACACACTGTGAACACACACCCGGAGCAGAGGGCAGCCATTTATGCTGCGGCGCCCAGGGAGCAGTTGGGGGTTCGGTGCCTTGCTCAAGGGCACCTCAGTCATGGTATTGAAGGTGGGAGAGAGCGCTGTACATTCACTCCCCCCACCTACAATCCCTGCTGGTACGAGACTTGAACCCACAACCTTTGGGTTATGAGTCCGACTCTCTAACCATTAGGCCACGACTTCCCCTATATATGTGTATATGCACTTACCGGCCACTTTATTAGGTACACCTGTTCAATTGCTTTGCAACACAAATTGCTATTCAGCCAATCACATGGCAGCAACTCAATGCATTTAGGCATCTAGATGTGGTGAGTTTAAATATTGTGTTCATATATGTGAAAATAATTTGGTCTTTATACAGGAGAGAAATATCTTCAACCGGATATTCGGTGGTTTTCTGATGAGAAAGGCCTATGAACTTGGTCGTGCCAATGCCTGTGCATTTGCGTAAGAGGAAAAAAACTGCTTTCCCTCACGTGTTGAATATTTTGTGTGAAAATGTTGTTCATTGTTAACATGGTTGTATCTTTCAGTGGCTGCAGACCAACTGTGGTGGCTGTGGATGATATCTTATTTCGTAAGCCAGTAGAAATTGGTTCTTTGCTCCTGCTGTCTTCTCAGGTTAGTAACTTTTGCTGTTTCAGCTTATTTGAATATTATTCACACTAACAAAACTGTGATATCTTAATCAGGTTTGTTACACAGAAGGAATGTACGTCCAGGTCAGGGTTCATTCAGAAGTGCTTGATCCTTTGACCCGGCAGCACAACACCACCAATGTGTTTCACTTCACTTTCCATCTTGAAAAGGATGTCCCAGCTGTTGTCCCACAGAGCTATGGAGGTTAAAAATATTTTATTTTTATAAATGCATATATTATTATAAATAAGTTAATGTTCATAATTATTTGTAATTATGTTTTTATGTAATACAGTAAAATATATTTTAAGCAGAATACGTACACATATATATTTTTTCTATTTAAAATATTATTTGTAACTCAAATAATTTCATCATCTTCAGAGTCTATGCTGTACCTGGATGGAAAGAGGCACTTTGATGGGACAATGAGGAACCACTGTTGAGCATTCTAGGATGTCCTGATAGGATGAAATACTGTTTACCTGATAAAGCCTCACCGACATCCATCACTACAATTACATGAGTGTTTATGTGATTTCTGGTTTGATTTTCAAAATGTCTACTCTACAGCTGTCACATGCATGCATTTGATACATTTAGTAATCAGTAATTTAATTGATACGTTTATACATTTTCTGAAGCACTTTCTATGACGTTTAAAATGTGAGATATAAATGTGGAAAACACTGTGACTACAATGTGTGACACTAAAACAACCATTCACACAATTCTTTGTCTATATGACATTTTTTGCTTTTTCCATCTGCTCATAATATTGTAGTTGTACAATAAATTTGGTCAGAAATCAGAAAGAGATGCACTGACCTTATTATTCTTTCAGTCCGAGAGGCAATTCTGATCTAACAGATTTTGTAGTTGCTCAAACTATCATAATCTTTAAAAGCATAGTAGTAGAGCTCAGGGTTATGCAACGTTGATGCAAAAAAAACAACAACAAAAAACAGTGAAGGGTGATTTTTTTGAACTGGTAATTTGCAGTGAATTTGGCAACACGGCAGAGCCGCGCGATGGGGGCTTTCAATGCGATTTTAAACATGGCAACCCGTGTACTCTCGCGTTATTTCAGCGGTGGGTGGTGAGACAGCATGGCGGCAGCGGCGGTGTTGAGGCATTGTTGGAGAGGACTTTCGCAGAGCTCAGGCAATGGCGCTGTCAGCACTGTCAGGTCGAAGATCCTCGAGGGTCAGTACAAGTATACTTATATAATAAGCTGCATTTAGATGACAAACAAGGAAGCTCCGCTTGTTAAAAGCTAGGCAAATGAAGGGGGTGTGGCATGAAGGCGCCTTAGGCGAGTGGGATTCACTACACTATCTCTAAAAACTGGAAAGAGTAATAGAAGTTGCTCTTTTAAACCTTTAAAACAGTAAAAGTATGCTCCTTCAAGTCATGCTTATGTCATTCATCTCATGTTTGTTAGGAAACGAGTTGACATGTTGTTAAGAACGTTAGAGTCATTTTTCGAAGACCACCTTTTAATCATACGCATTAAAATCACCAAGAGAGGGCAGAAAATCAGTGTATTAGAATGATTTCTGGAGGATCATGTGACACTGAAAGCTGCTGAAAATTCAGCTTTGCCATAACAGGAATAAATTACACTTTAATATATATTAAAGTAGAAAACTTTTATTTTAAAATGATGATAATCTGTTGTTACTGGTAATTTTTAAATAAAATAAGTAAAAAAAAATCATATCACAGTCTTTTGAATACTAGGGTAAGAAATGCAGAACAATAAACTCTAAAGCCCTGTTGACATACTGTTGTGTTTATTTGCAGGAGTTCGACAGAAATCTACAATACAGTACATATCACGGCCAGATCATCCAAAGCTGGCCTATCGGAGAGTGAAGGGGAAGAGTCCTGGTGTCGTGTTCCTGCCTGGATATGGATCTAACATGAGCGGACAGAAGGCAGAGGCCCTGGAGGACTTCTGCAGGTCATTAGGTCATGCCTACCTGAGGTTTGTGTCTGTTATTCATTCACAAATACATTCAGTGGGATCCACATATCTGAGACTCAGTGTAAATAATTTTTATTTTAAAATGATGATAATCTGTTGTTACTGGTAATTTTTAAATAAAATAAGTAAAAAAAAAATCATATCACAGTCTTTTGAATACTAGGGTAAGAAATGCAGAACAATAAACTCTAAAGCCCTGTTGACATACTGTTGTGTTTATTTGCAGGAGTTCGACAGAAATCTACAATACAGTACATATCACGGCCAGATCATCCAAAGCTGGCCTATCGGAGAGTGAAGGGGAAGAGTCCTGGTGTCGTGTTCCTGCCTGGATATGGATCTAACATGAGCGGACAGAAGGCAGAGGCCCTGGAGGACTTCTGCAGGTCATTAGGTCATGCCTACCTGAGGTTTGTGTCTGTTATTCATTCACAAATACATTCAGTGGGATCCACATATCTGAGACTCAGTGTAAATAATGTACAAAGTAACTGGAATTAAAAAAAAATGTTATGATGTCAAAATGATTGAAGATTTTGTATTATTTGTAAGCCACTAGTCAATTATGCAAATTTGGGACACTGATCATGTGACCTTTCCTACAGATTCTATTTCTTTGAAGCTCAATAGTCTCCTTGGGTCATGAACATGATCATCAGGTTTTACATAAGTTTGTTGAGTTGAACTGGAAAAAAAGCTAATTGGAAGCATTTTCCTTGTTCAGATTTTTGTAATCACTTTTTATGCTGCGACAATAATTTGAATTATTCGTAGTTTAATCTTTATACATATGTATATAATAATTTAAGAGCTTAAACTGCTTAGTCCAGTTGTTTTTTTTGTTTTCTTCAAATAGTGTCCCACCAGTGTGTGTTGAAATCCTCTAGGTGAAAGTTCACACAAAACTCAGGTCATTTTATGTGGATTTACAGGTTTGATTACTCTGGTCATGGAGCTTCTGAGGGTGTTTTTTCAGAAGGCACCATTGGAACATGGAAAAAAGACGTCCTGTTCATGTTAGATGAACTCGCTGAAGGTCCCCAGGTAAGGCTAGAGAGACTTTACAATGCTTTCACGGTTACATCTAGACAGCACAGACACTGATAGACCTGAGTCAATAATTAGGACCAGCTGCTGAAATGTAAACATTTGTTTTTTTAGAAGACTTTTTCTTTTAAATAAAAAGGACTTCTATAAACTGAAATACTTTTCTCATTTTTTAATAATCACGTTCAGTGTTTTCCCTTAAAGGGATAGTTCACCCAAAAATGTAATTTATTTCATTATTTAATCACCCTTATGTCAGTCCAAACCTCTGTGAGTTACTTTTTTTCTGCTGAACATAAAAGATATTTTGAAAAATGTGGGTAACAAAACAGTAGCTGGTCCCATATTATGGAAAATACTATTGGGGATGTCAATGGGGACCAGAAACTGTTTGGTTATCCACATTCTTCAGAAGATCTTCTTTTACATTCGGCAAATGAAAGATATTCAGGTTTGCAACAACCTGAGTAAATTCATGAATTTTCATTTCTGGGTGAGCTACTTTTGGTTCTTAATTCATTTTAAAGAGTGACCACTAGAGGTCACTAATACTTTTAAATATAGCATGGAACACTGGCTTTGACTGGAAGTACGTTGTCTCATAGATTCTCGTTGGCTCCAGTATGGGCGGCTGGCTGATGCTTTTAGCTGCTATCGCTCGCCCAGAGAAGACAAAATCCTTGGTGGGCATTTCCACAGCAGCAGATCATTTCGTTACAGCATTCAAGACACTTCCTATAGAGGTGAGATGCAACTGAAGTACTCTTACATTTTAGTTTCATGCACATCTTGCTGATTAATGCATCTCAAACATCAGTCAGAGTTCACATTTGTTATTCAGGTGAGAAAAGAGTGTGAGGACAAGGGTGTATGGACAATCCCCACAAAAAGTAACGAGGAGGGCATGTACACTGTGAGTATGGACTTCCTGCGTGAGGCGGAGAACCACTGCATCCTACAGAGCCCCATCCCTGTCACCTGCCCCGTACGTCTCATTCACGGCCTGAAAGACGAGGACGTGCCTTGGCACATCTCCATGCAAGTGGCCGAGCGTGTGCTGAGCCCCGACGTGGACATCATTCTGCGGCGCCACGGCCAGCACCGCATGGCTGAAAAAGATGACATCAAGCTCATTGTCTACACCATCGATGACCTCATAGACAAGCTTACCACCATGGTGTGAAACACCGTTTGGGACGGGGTTACCGATCAACCTGCCTTAAGACCCTCTCCCACTTTCTTTGCCAAACACCCGCTTCCTGTTTTGTTGTGCAAGACAAGAATGTTGGAAAAGGCAAACTGTGGGAGGACAAAATGGTTTCTTTTACATGTTTACCGCAATACTGTGCCATTAAACCTTATAGGTAAAGCTGCTGTTTGTCTAGCATAAGATTTGTCTAGATCTTCTGTGACTTTTTTTTACCATATTTCACACTGTTTTATGGAAATAAAGCCTCTGTATACCAATACGCAGTGTTTTGGACATTGAATTAAACACGGTTTCTTAAACTTCTTAAAGCAATAGTCCAGGTTCAGTATTGATGATTTTAATTTATCCATCAATTTATATTATCGTCATTTTATACATTTTAATCCATCATTAATATACATACTGTACACGCCTGACCTCATTCATTTCCATTGTACCTCACTGTAACCTTACTATAGTACACCGTACTTTTATTTAATTTTTTTTAAAGAAAATAGTATGTGCAACAAGTGGTTATGCACTTTTGTTGCCATTAACATTAGGTAACAAATGCTGTAGACTGAGTTTTTGCTGAACTCTGAAGGTTCCTTTTAGGCCAGTATCTTGTAAGGAATTAGTGGTGTGTGTGTGTACTACTGCTGCTTTAGCCCACCTGAACATCCCACTAAGCAATAAGCATGTTATATTAAAGCTGACCTTTCGGTTCTCTCCTGCCCTTTGCATTCTCTGTTTGTTTGGAGGACGTTTTGGGCCACTGCTCCAGAAACAGCTTGGTTGTTTATTAATGTGCATGATTAGCATTGGACTGGATTCAATGGGCCGGGGGCTTTTTTTTTTTTTTTTTTTTTTTTTTTTCCCCCCCCCCAACCCAAGGGCTTTTAAC